CGGTCCCTGTGCTTTGCTAAGCTTGTTCCAAGTAGGTGCTTTAGACCACTGAGCCATCTCACCAGCCCCCATCTTGATATTATTTTATCCCAAATTCTGCACCTGTAGAATGAGCACACTTCCCTTTTACAGTCTTAAAGTAAACAAGATCAAGTACAAAACAGCGTATGAAGTACCTAATTCAATGGGTCCCAGGCTCCTTGCCTCAACCCCCAAACCTCCTGCCTGTCCTGAAGTCCCTGTGAAGCTCCTGGCTGAACCCAAGGCTTTGAAGACCATTGTGCAAGAGCGAAGCAGAAAACAGAGAATGGTTACTTTGTTCAGGTTCCGCGTAGGATGGTGTGGGGAAGGTATTTCCAAACCTTCCTAATTGATTCCTGATTCCTGAGACCTTTCCCAGTTGCTCAAGCCAGAAATCCAGGAGGCAGTCTTGGTTTCTCTCCTGGGAACAACCCTTTCTACATTCTTAAGTTCTGTTTTTTTGTTCCAAAGATAAAGATAGTCCACATCCTGCTGGCGGTCCTTGTCACCCTTTCCACTGCTTCAGTACAAGTCAGCATTGTCTCTCCCCTAGAAAAGCGTGGTGGCTTCCAGTAAGGGACAATCTTCAGTACTGTCCCCAGGAAGCAGTGCACTGTCTCTGCAAGTCTTAGCAAGTCCCTCTGCTGGGTCAAAGCCCTTACCACTTGTCCAACAACCAGGGACCCGGCCTTACCTGTTCAGTGTGGCTTGGCTTCCAGGGTGGACTCCTGGCTACTTTTCCAGCTTCCCTTCTCTCCAACCCCCAACCCCGAAGCCCAAGCCCCACTCCCACTCCCACAGGCTCTGACCCATCCCAAAGATAACTCACTGTGCCTGGGAGGGCTGGGGAGGTAGGGGTAGGGTTGATGCTAAACCCAGCACAGCCCTGGGGGAACCAGAAAGCTTGAGTTGCTGCAGGTCTGAGCTTCTCATTCCTTCTCAGGGACACCCCACCCCCACCCCACCTCCCTTCCTGTTTGCTACTAAACGGGGTTCATCTTGGGGTCTCAGCTTGGACGTCTCTTCTGCAAGTGGACGTCATTGGCTCCTTTGCCCCTTTGAAGAGCTTCCCCTCCTTGCTGCCAGCATTGTTTACAGTGCCTGCGTTACTTCCCCAACATAATAAGCCCATTGAAAAGTGGGACAGGTGTTTCCCTCTAGCCCCCACACACACCCTCTGATTACCTGGGTTCTTTATCCTTGGTTCAACCAACCAGGAATCAAAAAATTAGGAAAAGCAAGTTATTGCTGATGAGTGTGACATAGTTAGGCCTACGTGGTTACATCTTTGCGGAACAGGTAGCGAGCGAGCGCTTCTTTTCTTGTCACTGTTCCCCAAATAAAGCAGCAGAAATCTATTTCTGTAGCATTTACACTGTATGAATGATTCTAAAGTATCTAGAGCGTGGGTGGTGTGTGTCTGTAACGCCAACAGTCGGGAGGCTGAGGCAGGGAGATTGCCTGGAGTTGAACGAAGGTCAGCCTGGGCTATGGAGTGAGCTCAAGGCCAGCCAGAATTACACAGCAAGACTGTTGCAAAGAACAGCAGCAGCAGCAACAACAAAAAAGCCTAGAAATGATTCAAAGTGCACAGGAGGGGCTAGGATGTAGCTCCACAGTAGAACCCAGGGCTTAGCATGCAAAAAACCTTGACTTCAATCCAAAGCAACAAAAGAAATAAAAATAAAGTATATGAGGGGACACTGACAACTTGAGCATCATTTGATTTTTGAAGCCATGGTTGTCCTAGAACAAAAAACTTCAGATTCTGCGGGATGGCTGTATTCCCAGAATTTGGCACACAGTAGGCATTTTAAAACTTTTGCTGAATTAATGAATAGCAATATCTTTTTCAGTTATTTTCCAGTTCATGTCACTGTGTCATGACCTATGGACAGGGAAGGGTCACACAGGGGACCATCTGGAAGCCAAGACTGCGTTCCAAGAGGTCTGCATGCAAGTTTCCTATCCCACACATTCTTCCAGAGCCTCCCAGCCTTCCTGAGTCTGTGTCCCTTCTGTCTGAAGGGACAGTTGGACAGTCTTTCCAACTAAGAATGAGGGAAATGACCCTACTAGACACCCAAGCCTGGGCTCTCAGAGGGGACTCGGGTTCCACCTTAGTATTAGGAAGATACTAATACTCTTCACCTTATAAATAAGTGCAAGCAAGGGACAGGACAGGCCCTGTGGTGACAGCCCAAGCTCACTCTCATTCTGTGAGTCCCTGGCCACAGGAGGGGAGCAGGGACTCTGCCCCCAGCCGTAGCTCAGCACCCAGTAGATGGCAGCACCTTCCAGCCAGAGGCCTCTGCCCTCTTGGAAGTGTGTCGTCACCAGCTAGAGAGGGCCCAGAACACAAGGTTGGTCTGAGATCAGCTCCTGCAGAGCCCTGCCCCAGACTCAGACTCACAGGAAAAACGACTGATTTCTCACAGCAGCAAGTCTGGCTTGTTCCCAGAATAGACAAATGTAGCTGAAGACAGGAAGCTGCTGCTGGTACTGGATGAAGCCTTCTTTCTCTTGAAAGGTCCTTGACCCAGACGTTCTTGATTTATTTCTCAAGGAACCTGGAGCAGGCTACAGTGTGGCCTGTTCGAACATCTGCCCGTGGTATGACTGGCTCTTGATGTAATCTAAGGGTGCCCTGGGCCAAAGGGGCAGACACGCGTAGCTGTGGGCCACCCCAGCTCCTACATCTGCCCATGGCTGCTGGGAGTGGAGCACGTAGCTTGGTCCTCAGGAACAGACACCCTTCCTACTGGCCACTGCTTTGCTATGGGAAGGACACAGGTCTCAGCATAGGGTGACACATTAGTGTCACTCTGGGTGGTGCCAACAAAGCAATGGTAACTTGGTTATGTTTTGCCCCTGGCCATTATTTAGATGCCCAAACCACTGTGTCCTGTTGAGGCTGGTCAAACTATACATACAGTCTTGAAGTAGAAGAACAGAAGCTTTTATTTTATATATATATTTTTTATTTTTAGGGAAGGGTCTACAGGGTATTCAGGGTCTCACTACTAGATCGGACTCCTGGTGATCTATTTACAGCCTCCCAAGAGCTGGGGTTACAGGCACGTACAGAAGCTCTTATTCAATCGGTGTGACATGGCAGCAGGCGTTTCTCTTCCCTGTGATTCTTCTCTACCTAGGTAAATAAGCACCATAGAATGGGAACCTCAAGGGCCTTGCCATGGCTCCGGGGGTAGGTAAGTGAGCTCAGAGTGTGTAACTAGTATTTGCAGTTAAGTGACATTTCCTGTTTTCCAGTGACTCTGAACCCATTTGGACGAAGGAGGGTAAGAAGTGTGGGGGAAGAGCAGGGCGGGTGGCATCCTTCTTCCTCCCTGCTAGGTCTTAGTTGACAATGGCAATGGCCCTCCACCCCACAACATACATCCATCGGATGGCCCTGCCCCGGGGGTGATGGCTCCTGCTGGTTCCGGGACCTGCATTTGGTCCCCTTTGCTGTTTCTGCTGTTGCCAATGCCCAGGTGCCTTGTTGTCCCTTTTTTTTTTTTTTTTTTGCGGAACCGCGGATTGAACTCAGGCCCTTGCGCCTGCCAGGGAAGCACTTATTCCACTGAGCCATCTCCCCGGCCTCTCGTTGTCCCTTCCTGATGCTTGTAAGAAGCTCCCTAGGGTCTGGATCTAGTCCTCTGCGTGTTGCTATGCTAACGTCCTAGCTCCCAGCTCGCGAGAGGGGACTGTTGTGAAGAGAGCTTTGAAAGCTCTTGGGGCTCTGCGAGGCGATCCAGTATGACAGCATCCTTCACAGAAGAGATTAGGACACACTGAAGAGAACATGAAAAGACACAAGACAAAGGCCATCTGTGAACCAGGCACATAGGCCCTGCTGACACCTGTGCCTTAGGCTTTGGCCTCCAGAACTGAGAGGAAATAAACTCATTTATTTATGAGGTACCCTGTCCCTCACAAACTCAGCCCCCAGGACAAGGAGCTTCATCCTGAAGCTGCCCAAGGGGCCTTGGGGTGCTGTCATTTCCTTCCAGACCCTGCCTCAAGTACACAGTATTACCAGGGGGCCCCCAGTGTCCCTTCATCAACCCCAAAGTACCGACCTCAGTGCTCTAAGTCATTTGACAAGGTTTATGCCATGAGATCCAACCACAGCTTCCCCTTGCTAGGCAAGCCCTCCAGCCCTGCGCTCCATCCCAGTCCCTCTCATTTTACTTGGAGAGAAGTCTCTAAGTTGCCCAGGCTGGGCTCACATTTGCAGTCCTCCTGCCTCAGCCTCCTGATGATCTGCGATTACAGGTGTGCACCACCACACTGGTTTGTCCCATGAATTTTTTTTTTTCTTTTTTCCTGAAAAATTGTAGGACTCACATTCACCACAAAGTACTTAAACTGAAAAGGTTTGTAATAGGAGATTCCCCTGGGAAGCCCGTTTTCCACCGTGGAGAGCATCTCGTCATGCCTGTGAAGTCCTTGCCCATGTTCAAATCAGCTTGGCTTCAGGAACCTGGGCAGGGAAAGACTGAAGCTCGGAGTGTCTTTGGAGGTGCTGTGCAAGGATCTGAGCTGCTGCTCCAGGGGGTGGAGGTCCCACAGACGATGAGGCCACGCGCAGTGGGCTGGGGCCCTGAGAGGCGCACTGGGACTTAGGGACATCTAGGGGAGAAGAAGGTATAAAAGGAGGTTATTTAAACATCAAAGGAAGCTTTCTAATTACACTTCTTGCAATGATATAAAACAACTTTACGAAATCACAGGGCTGGACGGGACTTCCTGAGACCTCCCTCTTCTCCTCCCTCAGCTGCATGCTCTCTTCACCTTGAACTAGGAATATATTCTTGCGTCTCCAAAGCTCTGGACACTGTTTCATTTGAACCTCAAGAAAGTCATCTGAGGTATGCAGGCAGGAACATACTAATACTCTTCACCTTATAAATCAAGCAAGGGACAGGACAGGCCCTGTGGTGACAGCCCAAGTTCACACAGCTGAGATGTTACAGCTGCTCCAGAGACTCGGGGTTCACAGACGACACGGCCCTCAGCACATTTCCCATGGTTTACACACTGTCGTCTGCACACACACACACACACACACACACATTCACACACACATAACCTGAACTCACAGTGAAAAACCATTGCTCCTTGGTGTCAGCTGGCCGCGTCCAGGAAAGGGAAGAGCGGGGAGAGAAGAAACAGGAATGATCCGAGCTGAGCTTATGGTCAGAGAGGGCGAACAGCCTCTTCAAGTTGGCCCTACCTGGCTCCCACTGTGTGCAGACCTCTGAGGACAGGTAGAGTGAACCCAACCCCTCTGCCAGCCCCCTCCTAGCTCAGAGGCAAGTTCCAATGGGGCTCATCCAGTCGCTTGGCACCTACCTCTCTGATGCCCTGCAACTTTATCTGAATTTTCCCTGAATCTGGGAAAAGCTCACTGTAGACTCCCAGCCTCAGGCCTGGTGTCGGCCCATGACTGCTGTCCCTTGTGCTCTCCCTTAAGTCCCCGGTAGGCCCTGGGCCTTGCCATGGAATAGGCATTTGCACTTGTCTTCCCTATACCTGCCCAAAGTGCTTGCTCCTTCTTCCTCCTTGGCCGAGGCCCACCTTTTTCTGGAAGGTGTCTCATCCTCCGAGATTTCTCCATTAGTCAGACCTCAGGAGCGTAACCATTGAGCCACATCGACTAGCCACCATCACTTGCATGTACTGTTCGCAGCTGAGTGTGCTGTGTTGTCTCCTAAGGAGACTGGGAGCTCCCTATCACAAAGCTGGAGTCATTTACTTCGCCGACTCTCTGGCACCTGCTGTAGGAGGGCCTGGCATGGTTGATGGTGATTTTGTCTTGGAAAAAGTGGGCAACATGGTGTTAAAGTAGCAGGTGATTAAGGCAGCCCTGGTGTAATCCTGGCACTTGGGAGGCTGAAGCAAGAGAATCACTCTGAGTTTGAGACCAGCCTGAACTGCATAGTGAGCCTCTGTGTCGAGGAAAAAAAATAAACAATCAAAAACTAACAAGAGAGTAGCAAATGCTTAAACCTAAAGAGTAAAAGGAAAAATGAGAGTAAATAATCCTTGCTCGTGAGAGGATTTCGGGGTTACGATCTCTGGAATAAGTGCCTCCCTGCTCTGAGTAACAATGCGGGTAAGCGAGTCGCGCAGGAAGAAATGGCGCCCGGGGCAGCAGCGCAGGCACTGCCCCCTCTCCCAGGCAGCCCGTGGAGACCTCGTCTGTCAGCAGCAGGACTCTGCCGCGCAGCAGGGGACCCCTTCTCCAGAGCCCGGGGCCCTCCGCAGGTTCAGGCAGGCTCCTCCGGCTCTCCTTCCTCGCTGCAGCGGTCCCAGGGGCTCCCGCTCTCTCCCTGTCACCTCAAGTTGTCCCCACCTATCTGGTCTGCTAGGCTTCTCTCCCCTCAGAGTCTGCTCCAGCCTGCCCTCTTCCTTCCTGGAAAACAAGCTTGCAGGCCCTGCACTTACTCCACTGAGCTATCTCCCCAGTCCCCTTTCATGGTGACAAGAGAAAAGATGCCATTTAAGAGCAAAGCAGGCAGGCTCTAAGAAGGAGCAAAGAAAACCCTCCGGCCCTGCATCTTACCTGGGCTTTCCGTGGTGGAAATGCTAGCTAAGAACCTCGCAAGCGCTCACCACGTAGACGCGCACTATCCTCCTCCTCCTTGCGGACCTCCCTGCCTTGCTCCCCGCAGGCGCCTCACAGCATGATTGAGCTCGAGTTGTGAGCGGCCTGTTTGCCTTCTGAGCACCTCAAGTCCAGGCAGCGCACACTTTCCTTAAACCTCCGTCCCATGCAGCGTTCCTCCCTATAGGACCTTTCCTACAGCTCCTGGATGATGTTTTCAAGAATACAGGTTTTTCTCTTTTTGGGCATAGGTGACCTTTCTACATAATTCAACATTCAAGTCTCAATTTAAAAAATCCCTGACCTTTCCCCCTAGGCCCCCCCCCTAGTTTCCAGGGCAACCAGGGTACTGCACTTTCCCCATCCTTCCAGAGGTACTGGATACAAATCCACACCACAGTGCAAGTGTCCTACGCTGCCACCTCTCCTTTTTTACAGTTAGAAGTACAATGTGAACACCATTGCTCTGTGCTTGAGAGGGTGTGCGCGTGCACGCGCGTGTGCATGTGTCCGGGTGCCTGTCACTGTGTGTCATTACATGTCACTTCCTCATTTCCTCAATGGTCCATTTATAGATGAACAATGCTGACAGCTATCTGGGCTGTGGTCCATGCTCTGTGCTTACCAACAATGCCAGAGCTAAGCAAGCCTCAAATGCGCACGTCCCTGCTGTCGCCATCTGTCTCTGGGAGCGGCTGGTGCAGCAGGCGGCTCTTCATCAGCGCTCCAGACACTGCTGGTCTGTCGCACACAGCAGCCGTGTGCTCATCCAGACTGGTAAAGGACAGCACTGGGTCATTTACCTGCCCATTCTTTTCTTTTTATGAGTCCACGTTGGTTTTCCATGAAGTTCACATTCTCAAGTGCAGTAGGTACAAGCACAGGACGTGGCCAGTTTTTAAAAAAATTCTCTTCCCACCTATGCTCCTCTAACCAACCCTTTTCCATTTCCTTGATTGTTTTTTTTTTTTTTTTTTTCGGTACCAGGGATTGAACTCAGGCCCCTGCACTTGCCAGGCAAGTGCTTATTCTACTGAGCCATCTCCCTGGCCCGACTGTTGGTATTCATCTTGGCTCACTTCCTGTCTGCTTACATTCATTAAGGACATTAGGTTCCTGGACCTGGCATATCTGCATCTCCCTTCCCTGGCCCTCAGGCTCCTGTACCCTTCCCACTTGCAAGAGAAATGGCCCTGTTTCCTCTTGTTATTATGTTAACAGCATCCTTAATTTTGCTTGTATTTTGCCTCACTCAAATGATACTCAGCTTGTGTGTTCAGTTTATTCCACGCAACATCATATTTTCCAGTGTATCCACTTCCCCACAAATGTCTCATACTGGTCCTTCTTTACAACTAAGTTATATTCCATTATGTATAGATATCACATTTTCTTTACCTATCTGCCTGTTAGGTATGCGGATTGCTTCCAGGATTTAGCAATTATGAATTGTGCTGATATAAACAGGGGTGTGCACGTACCACCATGGTACGTCTTTAGCTTTTGGAGGAAGGTATCTAGAAGGTGAATACCTGCGTCACATGGAATTGCTAATTTTAGTTCTTCAAGAAATTGCCATACTAATTTCTGTAGTGGTTATACTAGTCTCCATTCCCACCATCAATGTAGGACAGTTCACGCTTCACTGTAACCAGCCAGTTAGGTATTTGTTATTTTTTGACTTCTTAGTGATAGGTATTGAGGCCGGGAAGATGGCTCAGTAGAATAAGCACTTCCTTGGCAAGTGCAAGGGTCTGAGTCCAATCCCCAGTTCTGCCAAAAAAAAAAAAAAAAAAGTGATGGGTATTTTTTTCTGGTGTAAGAGGGAACCTTACTGTTGTTCTAATTTGCATTTCTCTAATAGCCAGCAATGCTGAACATTTTTTCCTGTATCTGTTGGCCATTTCTTCTCCCTTTTTTTTTTTTTTAACTATCTGTTTCTTTTTCTTTTTTTTTTTTTCCCCTTGGAACCAGGGATTGAACTCAGGCCCTTGTGCTTGCCAGGGAAGCGCTTATTCCACTGAGCCATCTCCCCGGCCCCTACTCTTCTTTTTATAGAGATGTTATTTATATATCTATATCTATATCTATATAAATCTATATCTATATAAATATGTATATGAATATATATATATATATATATATATGAATAACATCTCTATATAGTCTTGTTATGCAGTTCAGGGTGACCTTGAACTCATTATGTAGCCCAGGCTGGCCTTGAACTCACAGCAATCCTCCTGCCTCAGCCTCCTGAGTGCTGGGATTACACGTGTGTACCACCATATCTGACCTGTTTGTTTGTTTATTTATTTTTTATTTATTGTGTATTTAAACAGAAGGAAATGGAAGAGAAATAAGCAGCCATGCTTTTTGACATGGAATCCCTAGAATTCTGAAGAGTTCTGTTCTTGACCTGTTTCTAGGCAGTCTTCCCCTGGGGATCCATCTCCGTCTGTCCACCCTTCCAAGCTCCTGGCTCACACATTCAGCCCTCTGCGGTGCATGCTGCAGTCCCACGGCCCCACTAACCCAAGGCACACGTGCTCCACTCTATATCCAGTCCTGGGCTGTGTAGCATAGATGTCAGCACGATGCCTGCTCTGAAACCTAGGAGCTGCCCTTACTGCGGGAGCCGTGACGCCAAGCAGGCGGGGACTGCACCTTACCATGGTGCATCCCTGGCGTCTGAAGACACTCAAGGAGATGGGGAACCCACAAACACTTCCTCTTCTCTTCCACTTCAGGGCAATGGTGAAAGCAGGGAAACTAAGGCAGGATCAGAAAGTACCTATCTGCAGGCTGGGTGTCAGAGAAAGGACAGAGAGTACTGAAGACGCTGCTAAAGCTGAGGGGCCCAGGAAAGTAGGAAGGACTCTGAGGAAGCCCCAGCCCAAGAAAAGAAAGAAACCAGAAACATGTACAACCCACGTTGACCTGGGTCTTTTGCTCTCTTAGTGACTTTTTTGGGTGTGTTTGTCTTCCATTAAGTTATGAGCAGACACTTGCAAACAACCCTTGA